AAATTTGTGCAGTAGGTACCTCTCAGTGAACAGCTACTAGGTTGCATCCCATTATTTGACAAGTAGTATGGTAAAAATCTCTCTATACAAGGTCAGATTAATCTTTTTTATGGGGTTTTACATGAATGCTTTGCTTTGGGATTGTTTTTTTCTCCATGCATAAATCTTGATTATACCAACAGCCTGCAGCCCCATTGAACCAAAGCAAAACTCATTTTTATTTTTTTCTGTACTTATCACCACAGTGAGAAAACTCATTTAAAAAGGAGCTGTGAGAGTTTCCAGCAGGTGGGGGGGGGGGGGGGCATATGCTGTGAGCCTTCAGTGGGCTGGTGTTTCTCCCTTTTATATTTGAATGGGATATGCCAAGCTGGTTCTGGCTCCAGATCAGCTATCATTTCCTTTGGGATGATACTGAGGATGGAACTGAAAGTGAATTTTCGTTGGAAGGTGCTATGGGAATAGAGGAGCAGGTTGTGCATGCGTTCATGCATGCTCTTTAGTCTGGCTGATCAGAAGACATGCTGCAGCATGCAAGCTCAGCCAGCTCAGTCTGAAGCCTCAATTTTTACTTTCCCACTTGTTGATTTGGGTTCAGGTAGGGTTCTTTAGAGGGGGATGATAAATGTGCTGACCTGTAAGTGCTTGTAGCTTTTACTAGGTGGTGAATTTGAACTCTCCACCTTGAGGTTGACCTCACCTAATTTACCTTTGCAATAAAAGACACAGTGTGTGTCTCTACTGTCTGCAAACATTGGAATTACTAATACGTGTTTGTTACCTGTGATATAACAGTGTACATTTTGTCGATGAATGCAAATAGTAAGAAAAAGAAAACTAGAGTTTTTATTTAAACCAAAAAATATTTATCTATGAAGAAAAAGCATAATCCTGCTTATCTAGGTTTTGAGTTTCTAAACAGCGTACATTAATTTTGGTTCACTCTATGACTTCCAAAATCTACAGTGCATGAAACCAAATTCCCACTAGTAATAGTTTCAAGGAACCTCTGAGCCTGTGCAGGGAAAGACTTAAACATGGTACGTAACAATCACTGAGAGGATTTCTATTCTGAGACTAACTAAATTTTGCTTGCTTGTCTTCACAGTTTTAGCATCTTTTATGATGGCAATGTCATACTTACTTCTCTAGTATGAACTGGAGGAAGGTAGAAGCACCATTATGGTCTGGCTGGAAGATCCACCTGTATAAACTCTTAATTACAGAGTCTGGTGGTGAGAAATAATAGCACACACTTGAAAAACCACCTTTCTTTCCTCCTTGCCAGTCTCCAGTCCACTCCCTGCGCACTAGACTCAGTCACGGGGGTCAGTGCAGGGTGATTTCCTTTTTCAGCCACTCTTTGTTTCTTGCTCTTTTTTTTTTTTCTGCAGCTCCAGCATAGGATCCCCCAAAACCTACCTTTCTCTCAAAGACGCAACTCTTCCTTGGTGCCTATATCCACAGGCATCCTCTGCTGCTGTGCAGACCTTCCCTTACTCTCTGGAGTCTCCTGCCCCGGTTGGCTGCCAGGAGGTCCAGTTTGTCTAAAACTGGTAGCCAGATTGTATCCTAAACCAAACTATTGCCCAGATGCTGTTAAAAATGTTCTTCCTTATGTTCTTCATATTTGAAAAATCATGGCAGTCAGGTGAAGTTCCCAGTGACTGGAAAAAGGGAAATATAACCCCCATTTTCAAGAAGGGGAAAATGGATGACTTGGGGAACTACAGACCAGTCAGTCTCACCTCTGTGCCTGGCAAAGTCTTGGGGCAGATTCTCCTGGAAGGCATGCTAAGGCACATGAAAAACAACAAGGTGCTTGGTGACAGCCAGCATGGCTTCACTAAGGGGAAATTCGGCCTGACCAATTTGGTGGCCTTCTATGATGGGGCTACAGAACTGATGGACAGGGGTAGAGCAGCTGATGTCATCTACTTGGACTTGTGCAAAGCGTTTGACGCTGTCCCACACGACATCCTTGTCTCTAAATTGGAGAGACATCAATTTGATGGATGGACCACTCAGTGGATAAAGAACTGGCTGGATGGCCGCATGCAAAGAGTTGTGGTCAGTGGCTCAATGTCCGGCTGGAGACCAGTAACAAGTGGTGTCCCACAGGGATCAGTGTTGGGACCAGTCTTGTTTAACATCTTTGTTGCTGACATGGACGGTGGGATTGAGTGCGCCCTCAGCAAGTTTGCCGATGACACCAAGCTGTGTGGTTTGGTTGATAGGCTGGAGGGAAGGAATGCCATCCAGAGGGACCAAACACACTTGTCCCAAACACAGTTGTGAGGTGGGCTGATGGCAGCCTATGAAGTTTAACCTTATACAGCTGGGTCGGAGCAATCCCAGGCCCAGCTACAGATTGGGCAGAGAAGAGATTCAGAGCAGCCCTGCGGAAAAGGACTTGATGAGAAAATGAACATGAGCCGGCTTCAGTGTGTGCTCGCAGCCCAGAAAGCCCACCATATCCTGGGCTGCATCAAAAGGAACGTGACCAGCAAGTCAAAGGAGGTGATCCTGCCCCTCTACTCTGCTCTTGTGAGACCTCACTTGGAGTACTGTGTGCAGTTCTGGTGTCATCGACATAAAAGGACATGGGACTGTTAGAACAAGTCCAGAGGAGGGCCACGAGGATGTGGTCCATGAATTTTACACTGGTTCCTGGCCATACTCTCTGTTCCTGGTCATGTCCTGTGAAGCAGGACTGGAGGACGTCAGCTCTGAGGGGATGGCAGTAAGGCATTACAGGGGTGTGTGGGCACCACAGGAGCAGGGGAGATGCTCTGTGGGATGGTATGTAAGCTGTCTTTTCATGTATGAGCTGCAGGAAGGATATGAGTAGGCTTTTTGTGGTTGTAGACTTTGAAGGTTTCAGCTGTTGAGCCCTCTCATCTGTACTAGATGTGTGAAATGCAGTCTTTTGAAGGCTAATAACTTTCGCACAAAATCCACTCATAGTTGGGTAAGACAAAAAGCACGTGCCTGGAATAGAGCCATACTTTGTTTCAGGTCCCTGCTCTGAACACCAGAGTGTGAGAGGATTTCAAATTAAGCCACCAGATTTTTAACTTGGGCAGAATAACATCCTTTGCCCTGCTTCATTCTTAGAAGTAATTGAGTGCTATTTTTGAAGTTCTTCCAAAAGCTTTTATGCTTTAGACAGAAACAAGCTCAGAATGTATAAGTATAGATAATTAAAGTTTGGCAATATTATAAGCTGATGAAATTGGGATCTTGTGGTAGGAAATAATGCTGATCACAGTTAGTAAAGGGTACAAGTCCTTCCTTTGTTCTAGGAATTGCCTGATGTAATCTAGACTATGCCAGTAAATTTCACAGGGAGACAGAGGAGTTCGTATGCAGATTTTGGAATAGCCGTGCTTTAAGGATGAACAAAAAAGTACCTCACAGCCAAATAAAATATAGCAAGGTGTTTGGGCATCTTTGCAATGAGTGATATGCTTTGTCCTGTTTAAATTAATGCTAGGCAGCAGGCTAAAATTGTAAATGTAAAAAATAAGCAAGCTGCATCAAGGATGGTTTGCAAAGCCATACAGAAGGTCAGTGTTTGATGGTAATGATATGGAAATAAGCTTGGATCAGTAGTATGAATGAGTTCTGTGATTCAAAACTGGGCAGTAATAGGATCCAGTATTAGGATCAGGCAGGTGTGAAGATACTAGTGCTGAAGATTTGAAAATAAACTTTAATTTAAGATGTGCAGGGCAAAATGCAATGAGTTCTGTAGCGGTGTAATTGTACTAGTGGAGAAAGGTATTTTCCCCTTCTTGACCTTTTGCCTTCCATTCAATTGCAGAAATCCATAGGTTCAAAGGTTTGGGTTTGACCTACCAGACACTGAAGAAGCTTTGACAAGGCTTTGTAGCTATTAAACTTTCATAGGTTTGCAGCTTTGTGGTTGAAGTTAACAAGACTGTAACTGTTTTTTTTCTCTTGGGGATAGGATTTCAATTAAATCAGTGTTGCGCAGTATTAGAATTCCAGCCTTACAGGTTAAGCGTATGGAGTTTTTGTTATAGGGAGCGGGACCTTCGCCTGAGCCTAAAAAGTGCTCTCCTTCACTCATCTTTTCAAAACTCAGTTTCATTTAATGCTCTGATAGTGCTTGTTCTAAAGTCTGTGCAAGTGCTGTGCTGATGCTGCTGCAGAGCTGTGCCGCAGATCCATTTAACATCTTAACAAAAGGCAGGTTTTTCAGACGTGTTTGGTGTTGCCAGGCGTTCTCTTGCTGAAGTTGATTAGAGCTGAGAGCTTTAGAGAATCTATGTGAAATTATTGTGTTAAAAGTTTATATCCACTCCTTTGAGCTTTTGATTACTGGGGTTTAGCTGGTTCCATAGCTTATGAGGAGAAAGAGATGGACTGGCTTTGATGTCTTCACTACAAATCAGCCTCTTTCAATTGAAACCCATGCTGATTTGTGTAGCTACCTAAAACTACCTGGTGTACTACCTTGGTGTGCCTTTCACTTCTTCCACAATTCCCCTTGAAAGGAGCTATGACTACGGTTTATGGATCAGGCTACCTTCTCTTGCAATGGGAAGTCTAAACTGTGGATTTTGCTGATATTGGTAATTGGAACAATCTGATGGGGAAAAAGATAAAGAAAACCTAGCCTGGGAAGAGTCCTCAAGGGTTCCTGTGTAATAGAGCACTGGCTTGCTGGGGGAACAGATCTTTGTGGTGTTTTATGCTGTTCTACTGAAGTCAATTATATAAATGACCCATATGTATGCCCACATACTGTTGTGTTTCCTGACTAGTCCTTTACCTGCTTTTTCAGTTGCTGCATGTTGCGTGCCTTCTGCTCTGCTGTAACACTACAGCTTTGCATTTTGCTGCCTGTATGACTCCCACTCCCCATTCTGCATGGTCTGCTAAATGTACTTATTGTGCATCCAGAAAAAGCTGAAATAGTTGTTGATGGGTTTTGATTTTTGTTTTATCCCTGTCCCTTTTTCTCTTGACAGTTTTTTATCATGCTGTTAATTATATTTCTGTTGGAGCTCACTGTTGTGATTCTGTTCTTCGTCTACACTGACAAGGTAAGTCAGATTCTTAATTTTTCTTTTCCCTTCAGCAAATTTTTATGCCCCTTTTCCCTATAAATAAATCATGAAGTACATGACTTGGTATGCACATCATGCTTCTGTCTTCCTTGAGACACCCCTCTCAGAAGGAGCTCTCTCAGAATACATAAACAGCTTTGCAGGACTAGGATCTCTTGCTTGCTCATGTATACAGCTCAAGGTCACAGATATTGCCAAGTGCATCTATCATTAAAAAAAACAAAAACCAAAACAACTCCCCCCCCCAAAAAAAACCCCACAAAAACAAACAAACAAAAAACCAGAACAAAACCCAACAAAAAAACCCTAACCAAATAAGAAAAAATAAATGACAGAAAAGCAAAGCAGTCAATGAGCCTGACTAGGAGCATGGAGGAAAAGACACCCACCAGACTGAATAGGGCTTTTTTTAAAGTATGTTGTTTATAATGTAAGAGCCACATTAATGTTGTGTCCTTAGCACAGGCAAAGGCACACAATTCATTATCTTTCCAAGTTGCTTCTTTCAGCACATGTGTATTTAGATTCTAGTGGAAAGCCAAGGTAAGTGCATAAAAGTTTAATTAACAAAGGTTTTGTTTGTGGTTTACTTAAGTTTTGACCTTTGTTCCTGTGCTTTGTATTCTGTTGTAAGTGCAAGATTGCCTCTCTGAATTATCTTTATTTTTAATTTATCTTTATTTTAAAACAATTTTTCTTAAAAAAAAAACCAATCAGGCAAAACCAAAACCTACACGAATAAACCCAAAACAAGGGCATAACCTGCCAATTCAATTGAAATTGTCAAAGTACATTACAACTGAAGACTAAGGGAGCTTGAAAATCACAAAAATTTTGCCATGAATTAAGTCATCAGGTATGTGACCGATAAGCAGCTGCTTCTGGAATGGAAAGGCAAAATACCAAAAACCAAATACAAATTAAAAATAACTACACAAGATATCAGAGTAAAATGAATATTAGCAGTAGACCTAGTCATATTCAGTATGTTTAGCAATAACCTGAAGAGTGGATAAGATGTCAGCACTACTTTCTAGAAAGGCTCTGAATTAATGAATGAACACTGTGAGTGATCGTCAGGCGCACTTCTGAAGGACTGAAAAGAGCTAGATTGCCACACAGCATGTTGTAGCTAGAACATGAAATTAACTTGCAAAGTAATTAAAGTAGAAAGGACAATTTAAAATTACTTGTATGCATTATTGGGCTCTGAATTACCAGTAACCTCTTGGGAGAATGATCTACACGTCATACGTGACAGCTTAATAAAGGCATCTACTTAATATGCAATGGGCCTCCAAAACCCTAATACACTTGGCTATATTTAGAAATGGAAGCAGTTAGAAAAATTACCACATCATTATATAAATTGCCTCATTGTAAATTAAATATTGAGTTTTGTTTAAGCAAAAGGTAGTACTAGAAAGGTGGGAGAGGAGCAGTATGAAGAGGTATTATGTAGACTACCCTGATTCAGTTTGGGAAAGGAAAGACATACTCAAATTATCTTAAGAAGATAAATGATAGCAGTTTCTAGAATAATGACATACTAAAAACTTGTCCCAAACACAGAATACTTGAAAATATTAAAGAGTGGATTTAAAAGGGAAATGTTTTTTATGTTCTGCATCATCATCATGTAGGATTCCCTGTTGCTGGCTGCTGTTGAGTCTGATAGTTTGATAAATGTATGGGTATGGAGGAAAGAAAATGTTACATTGATTGGTAAGTGTCTGTCTGAGAATGTTGGTCCTCCCTTTTCAGAGGTGAAAAAGTGTCAGGGAGGATTCCCTCCCTCCTTCAGCCTATTGGTTTACAGTGGTTTTTATTTGTTCTTAATAAAGAGATCAGGGGTTTTAACTTTCCTCTGGGTCATGCACTATAAGTTGATGCAGGAGATACAGTATAGTTGTCTGTAAGATCTAAACATAGTCTAAAATACAGGCTTCAGTTCAAGTGCAGTTTTACTGAGTTAAGAAATAGCTGTAGTCTGTGTATTGCGGATGATCAGATTTGAGGCTCTTAATGTTTCTGTATGGCTCCATATGCATGGTTTATACTGAGGAAATCAATAGTTTGTCTCCTTATTACACTTACAGTCCTGCCAACAGAATAAATAAAACATCAGCAACCTAAAACAAGTATTTTCATACAGCATGCTTTGAATCTGTGTGCTGGCTTTTCTGATGTGAAGAACAGTATTGCCATGTGCGCTGGTATGGGGAAATAGCTAACCTAGACAAGTCCACCACATAATTCAGTTAACGCAAGTCCCTGAAAAATGAGCAAAGGAGCAGTCTACACTAACTCTTGCACATCAGAAGAAAGTAACATTAGTTTTGTGTGCAAAAGCAGAAAAGGACTCTGAAGATTAAGACTTGGAGGACTCCTGTATCATTTATATATATATATAAAAATATATAAAGTCAGCAGTTTTTTTTCAAGTACCTGGTAGCTTTCTGTTAATTAGGAGTGTATATACATATAAAGTTATTTCCAGGATAAAATGGGGGCTAATTGTTATTTTCTGTTCCTAGCTTGAGAAGAGGTCAACAATGGATCCCCTTGCAGTTTTCATTTACTCCTGCTTTGTCAAGTGGAAGGACTTTGGAGTGGATACTTCATCCCTTTGTCACAAAGTTGAATTAATACTCTCCTCTTTTCATGAAGCAGGACAGTGTTATCACCCTACTTAGGTGGAGAGGCAGGAGCCAAGAGATTTCCCTAAGACTCTGCAGGCATCTGGAGCCGATTCTAATTTTAGAGCTCTTGGTGCTTTGTCTGATGGCAGGGGATCTGAGAGATTGAGCTGTGCTGGCAGCAGAGCTGTGTAATGCAGCTGACTTAATAGTACTTTTGCAGTGAATGATATGCATTTTGTGCCTTCTGCTGTAGAATGGTCACAGTAGCAAGCTGCTGCCTACACCGCAGGGTGCAGGTATCAGCCACAGGGTGGGTGTGCATCCAGGTGCATGTGGACATGACCCATGGACTCCTGAGCTTGTAATAGGGGTAATGTGCTGCAGCTTTGAGCTGCACTGTGCATCTCTTTGGCAGGGCCTGAGCTCATACCTTGTTCGCATTTCCTCCAACTGTCCTGGCTGTCCTTACATTGCAAAATATGAATCTCTGGAATTCTGCAGAAGTGAAATGTGGCCTGTGTGGGAATAGGATGAGGAAATACATTCCTGTGGGGTGGCTGTCAGAAAAAATATATAGCACTTCTATTTTGTCCTGGCTGTTCTCAAGGCAGCAGGGTGACTGATTCATAGGCTGTCTTCAGCTCAAAATGGCAAAATGGAAGCTTATTTTTGTTTGTGCATGTTCAAATGCAAAGTCCTAAAGCATGGCTTTACATCTTTTTGAGGGCAGGAATATCAGCCTAAGAGATGTGGGCATTGAACAGAGTTTGTGTGATTATGAGAACTAAGGCAGGTTGTTGTTACACTGAGAGTGCTATTTATTCAGGCTGAACTGATGTCCCTATTTGAAGCAGTCTAAATTCCAGTGATAGTGCTAGAGTCATATGAATGGTTGGTTATGTGAATGGCCAACCATCTGTAGCTTGAATATTCTATTTAATGTGTTTTATTTTGATTCCATTAATACAGAGCAACATCTGACATTTTCTTAAGTTGGTTATTTCTATGTGAGGCTCTATATGCATTTATGAGGGTTCCATGGAGTACTGATAGGGTTAACCTTAATTATATTGTGACAAAGAGAAAGCAGCAGGGTCCTGTGCTGTCAGAGGCTGGATATTCCTTATATTTCTCAATACCAGATTGGACCCTGTTAGAATGTAAATTATGCTAATAAAATGCATGGTCTTGTACCAGTTCTAACTTGCATAATCCTTCTGGTATTAGCATCTGTATTTATTTATACTGTGATGATACTTCTGGAGGCAAAAAAAAAAAAAAAAAAGTCCATATTTACTCTTTTGCAGCTGTAATACATTTTTTTTTCGGTAGGTTTGTTGTTCAGATGTCTGCATTTTTTCTGATTTATGGCAGAGCTATGGAGTCACCATTTAATGCCCACAAATGGAAGAACATAACCACCAAAATGTGCTTGTTTTCCCTTTTCTTTTTGAAACATCAAACTGAGTAACGTAAGCCAGTTTAAGGAATAGAACCACTGAAGTCTCACTGACTATGATATTTGATTATGGGAGCAGTTACTGCTATTTGCAACTCAAAGTTAAGACCAGAAATTTCAATGAAGATTAGGCCGTTAACTCACTTGGGGTCCCTGTGACAATTACAGCCTGAATTCCATGCCTGCTTAGCTGTTTTGAAAATGGCCCACAGAATAGTAGAGCGTTGAAAAATAATGGCTACTTCTGTTTTTCATGAGATGTGTGAAAATGCTCTTGCTTTCTATGTCGCAGTAAATTGTAATGAGTTCTGCTATAGCTTTTACCGCTAGCTGATAAAAAATACGGTTTGTAGATTGATGAATTTTTTGTTTCTCAAAACATTTTGCAAATTATTGTAATTCCTGATTGATATTTTGCCTGGTTCCATACAGATTAGGCACCACAAAGTGGAATGTAGTGTGTATGGTTTTAAGTATAGCACAGTCCTCACAACCTCTTTCACGTTTGGCTTTATCAACAAAGTGGAAAAACTGAATCCACTTTCTGCATTTATGAGCAGCTGTTCACAGAAATGATCTGATGCTGCTGAGCCACTTGACAATATGAGTACGAAGTTCACAATCAAACTGAGGACAAATTTTTCATGCAGAAAGTTTAGTTCAAGCCTACTGCAGAAACTGTTGCTCTCATTGAGCTTCTGTCCAGAGGGCTTTAAAGTTTTCAGTGTTTGTCTTTGACAGAGCTTCGGCAGAGCAGGATATCTTCTCCGATAACAAAATGCTTCATGTTCCTAGTCAGCCTAGCACACAGGGCTGTCCAAGGTGCACACAAAGAAGATGGAAAACAGCAGCCTTTGGAAAGTTCTGCAAAACTG